ATTGGATACACATGCCTTTAATCTTAATACCAATCATGGAAAACCTGGAGGCCTATACAGACAGGCTGTGAGGAGGCGGTCATGTGGTTGGGTTTACAACCAATGAGAAGGCAGGACAGGAACTCTATATAAAGACTTTAACACAGGGGTAGCTCTGGTTCGGAGAGGTAGGACCACTGCAGGAGGAAGGGTAAGGTTTTGGCTCTTGGCTCTGACCTCTTGGCTTTCTTCTTTGCATTGGTTCTGTGTTTATTGTTTGATGGGAAGGTTGGATACATCTACAGAGGCGATTTGGATTCTGGAGACAGAACATTCCTCACTTGGATGTGTTACTCGAGAATATATACCAAGTGACTTGAAAATCTGCTAGTTTTGAATGGGGGCTGGAGAAGGAGAAGGCTCTTCAACAGGTCCAGGCTGCTATGCAGTCTGCGCTACCATCTGAAGCATAGATCCAGCAGGCCCAATGGTACTTGAGGTGTCAGTGGCAGATACTGATGCTGTTTGGAGCCTTTAGCAGCCCTCTAGAGGTGAATCACAGAGGAGCCCTTTACAGTTTTTGTAGTAAGGCTGTACCATCATCTGCAGACAACTACTGTCCCTTTGAGGGATAGCTCTCGGCCTTCTATAGGGACTTAGTGGAAACTGAACATTTGCCAGTGGGCCATCAAATTACCATGAGTCCTGAGCTGCCAATCATAATCTGGGTGTTATCTGATACACCAAGCCATAAAGCAGAACATTCACAGCAGCAATCCATTATGAACTGGAAGTTACATGATCAGACCAAGCAGGTCCTGCAGGTACAAGCAAGTTACATGAAGATGTTGCTTAAATGCCTGTGGTTTCTACTCCTCTTACAGTGCCCTCTGCCCCCTAGCATGCATCTGTAGACACATGTGGTGTGTCCTATGATGATGATGACTTGACTGAAGAAGAAACTAGGGCCTGGTTTACTGATGGTATAGAGGTACCACCTCAAGGTAAATAGTTACAGAATTACAATCCTGTGTGTGAGTATCCTAACAGACGCTGACAAATGGAAATCTTTATCCTGGGCAGAATTCAGGTATCATACGTTCATACATTTTGTTTGGAAGGATAAATGGCCAAATGTGTGATTGTTCACCAATTCACGGGCCATAGACAATTGGTTGGCTGGATGGCCAGGGACTTGGAAAGAGCATGATTGGAAAATTGATAAGAAAGACATCTAGGGAAGAAGTATGTCCATAGATCCTTCACACAGGATAGGAAGATACTTATTTGCCATGTATATGCTCATCAAAAGGTTGACTTCAGCTAAGGAGGAGTTTAACAATCAAATAGATATAATGACCCATTCTGTGGACAGTCAGCCTGTTTTTCCCAGCCATTTTTGTCGTTGCTAAATGGGCCAAAGAACAAAATGGCCATGGTAACAGAGATGGGGGTTATGCATGGGATCAACAACATGGACTTCAACTCACCAAGACTGACCTGGCTATAGCTGCTGCTGAGTGACAAATCTGCCAGTAGCAGAAACTAACACTGAACCCTCAATGTAGCACTATTCCTTGGGGTTTCCAGCCAGTGACCTAGTGGCAGGCTGACTACGTTGAATCACTTCCTTCAGGGAAAGGACAGCACTTTGTCCTTTTGTGATATATACTCATTCTGGTTGTAGGTTTGCCTTTCATTCATGTAATGTTTTTGCCAAAACACTACCCATGGACTTATAGAATGCATTATCCACCATCATGGTATTCTACACAGCATTGCTTCTGACTGAGGAACTCACTTCACAGACAGAAAAGTGTCACAGTGGACCTATGCTCATGTAATACATTGGTCTTATCCTGTTCCTCACCATTCTCAAGCAGCTGGTCTGATATAATAATGGAAAAGAATCAAAGCCTGCTGATGTGCTTGCTCAGGATAGAGGGAATACAAAACAGGTAGTAGAGGAAAATACCAGTTAAGGCCATGTGACTAGTCACAAAAATGAGGATTATAATTGACATAGGGGGTTTTGTAAATAACATATTTATGATTTCTTTCCTTGATTTTTTATCATGTAATGTAAAATCAATTGAGATAATATCAATGATTATCACATGTAAGATTTGAGTTACTAAAAGAATGTCCCTCAAGGTATTACCACCTATTCTAAAATATATGCATTTGCACTTGTATGTGGGATATTTACATCATGTTAGGTGTTATTATGACCTGGTTATTGTTTTCAAAAATCAAGGAAAGAAATTGTGTAAGAAATAGTACAAAGGAAAAACGGAAGCTTGAGCACAGAGAAGCAGGGGTTAGGAGGCAAAGGTTATCTGTATGATGTAGAAAGTAGAAAGTCTAGTGATCTTGGGTGACTAGTATCCTGAGGCTTGTGAAGAGTTGGGGAAGAGATGGGAAGGACACAGCAGGTAGAAGGGCAGAAAGGGAAGAACATAGAGCTTACTGCCCCCATTCCAATGTCCTGAGAGAATGTGGAAAGGGAAGAGATGTTTCTGGAGAGACAGGATACAGAATCTGCATCTGGAGATCTCACTGGAGGGTGTGGACAAAGGTGGGGCATGATGCAATCTGTATTTTAAAACACAGTGGGTGTAGCAGGAGAAAGGCAGTAGGGGGAAAACAGTAGGAATAAGAAAGCTGATAATGGATGAGGTTTCTAGCACAACAATTAGGGTGTTTGGCCATCCCATCACCAGAGTAGGTCAGTTCGGGCTGTCTCTCGACCATTGCCGGCAGTCTGTTGTGTGGGTATCTTTGTGGATTTCTGTGGGCCTCTCTAGCACTTTGCTTCTTCCTGTTCTCATGTGGTCTTCATTTACCATGGTCTCCTATTCCTTGTTCTCCCTCTCTGTTGTTGATCCAGCTGGGATCTCCCGCTCCCCCAAGCTCTCTTTCCCTCGACCCTCACCTTTCATTACCCCCACTCATGTCCAGGCTGTTCATGTAGATCTCATTCCATTTCTCTGTCATTGGGCGATCCCTGTGTCTTTCTTGGGGTCCTGTTTTCCGGGTAGCCTCCCTGGTGATGTGAGTAGCAGACAATTCATCCTTGTTTCATGTCTAGTATCCTGCTATGAGTGAGTACATACCATGTTTGTCTTTCTGAGTCTGGGTTACCTCACTCAGGATGATTTTTTCTAGATCCATCCATTTGTCTGCAAACCTCATGATGCCATTGTTTTTTTCTGCTGAGTAGTATTCCATTGTGTATATGTACCACATTTTGTTTATCCATTCTTCAGTTGAAGGGCATCTGGGTTGTTTCCATGTTCTGGCTATTACAAACAATGCTGATATGAACATAGCTGAACAAGTGCTCTTATGGTGTGGTCTGGATGCAGAGATCCATGACTAGGCCCTGGGTGGATCTCTGGGAGTCCAATCAACGAGAATGAGGAGGGTTTATATGAGCGAGAATTGTTGAGACCAAGGTTGGATAAAGCACAGGGACAAATAGCCAAATGAATGGAAACACATGAACTATGAACCAATGGCTGAGGAGTCCACACTGGATCAGGCCTTCTGAATGGGTGAGACAGTTGATTGGCTTGATCTGTTTGGGAGGCATCCAGGCAGTGGGACCAGATCTTGTGCTCATTGCATGAGTTGGCTGTTTGAAACCTGGGGCCTATGCAGGATTGTTTGGCTTGGCCTGGGAGGAGGGGACTAGACCTACCTGGACTGAGTCTACCAGGTTGACCTCAGTCTGTGGGGAAGGCTTTGCCCTGGAGGAGATGGGAATGGGGGGGGGGGGCGTTGGGGGGAAGGTGAGGGGGACGGGAGGGGGGGAGAACAAGGGAATCCGTGACCGATATGTAGAACTGAATTGTATTGCAAAATAAATTAAAAAAAAAAAAAAAAAAAACCCAAAGACAACACAAAAAAAAAAAAAAAAAAAAAAAAAAAAGAAAGCTGATAATGATGGTGGCCAATGGCATGGGCCGTATTTAAAGCTAAATGACGAAGGAGTAGCTCAGAGTGCCAGAGAAACCAAACATGGCTCTCAGGTTACTGAAACTTCTAGAAACAGGACACCATTTGATGACACTGGGGAAACAGGAGAGATGTAAATTTTATAAGAACCAGGAATTTTTAGAAGATATCTTACTAGACACTTGAGTTGGTAGCTGGAGATACAAACTAGAGCTCAGGGGATATGTACATTCATAAACTGCATTACTTGCTTGTTAAATCCCCAACACATCCTTACCATTTTCCAGACAAATGCATGCTGTGAAGGACATAGTCTTTCTAGGCACTTGCTACTTTATCTCTAGCCATGTATACACCAGGCCCTTTTGTCATACACTCCCTGATCCCTCCCTTCCTCCATTTCTTTCATACATGTGTCATTTCCTTTGCCTGGATTATTTTTCCATTTTTACTAGACTGTTTTTCCTTTGAACCCTAGTTCTTTGGATAAGCCTTCCTGTCTTCTTGTGGTATAGATAGTCTGGATGTTCTTTTTCCTGCCTGTCACCACACTCTACCCAGTTTTCTATGGACAATAGCACCAGCATATTCATCCTGGTACTCCACTAACTAGTTAAGTTAGCTTTGATAAAATGCAATAATCCTTTAAGTTTGACTCCTCATCTATAAACTAAGTGATATGAGGTATTGCGCTTATGACATTGCCTGGCATAGTAGAAGTACCATGCAACTCATTAAATATTATTATAATGATATAATACCTACTGCAATGTTGTGTGACAATTTTCATGTTGCTTTTTTGCCTTCCAGTGGAGCCGCTAAGCCTTTCCTCTGGGCTTCTGGCACACGTTAAACCTCATTAATTCTTTCTAACATGGATTAATGCATTTAAGAATGAAGAAAACATAGCAGTGGGCTGTATCAGTACCCTGAAATAAACTGTCACTTCTATGGGGGTCTTTCTATGCTCATATTCTTCTGGCTACTGTACACCATGCTGAGAAGTCCTGGGTTGACTGTTCCAATTATATTTTGATTGAAGGAAAAAGGAATATTGTTACCTTTGGATCAGGCAGGCATGGCCCAAAGGCTTCCAGTAGAAGGGTCTCTTCTCTCACAGCGTTCTCATAGTCTGCAAAGGACAACTTCCCATCATGGTCTTGGTCCTGAGAGGTGAGCATCCTGGGTCAGTGAGCACATGGCACTCTTGCTGCAAATGCACACTCTTTTTCACAGTCAGGTGTTAGTAGGAGAATGAGAGATTAGGTTGGCAAGGTAAAAAATAAAGTTTTGTAGTTGTGGGGGGAACAAGATGTTATTAATGGAATCAAGAGCCTCTCACATGCTAGGCAAGTGCTCTGTCACTGACCCACACCAGCAGCTCAAAGAAATCACTCTACTGACAAGCAAAAGTTGACTCATTTAACTAAACAGAATACTGAAAATCATCATCACTGAATTCTTACTTCTGTCCCACACATTGCTTATAAGTTGCAATACAAAAATTCTACATTACTCATACTTACCATTTTCTTAAGTATAATTTCAACCAAATCTTTAATTCCTTCATCAGGGTCCTCCTCAGAGGGCTGCTTGAGAAGACTGCTCTTCAGCATGTAGAACATCTCTTCCTTTGAAATGAAGCCATCACCATTCAGATCAAACACTTCAAAACAATCTAAAGAAAATTACATATATTATATATGTATGTACACACACAATATGTGTGTGTGTGTGTGTGTGTGTGTGTGTGTGTGTGTGTGTGTGTGTGTGTGTGATTATCACTAAGGTGGCATTTTCTTCTGATAAAGCAGTCAGAATGGAAACATATCTTATTACTTCATTATTTGGCTACTAGCTTGATGCTAGTCGACTTTCATGGGAAATATTCCCATTTCTCTTTACATGTTTCTTTAACTGACTACTAAAAGAAACTCCTAGGAGCACTAACCTGAGCATTACTGACTGGAAACATGGAAAAGCAATTGCATATTTATATTAATTATATTAAATGAAGTATGACTCCATCAGTTAAGAATTAAGAAGTAGAAAACTTAAATTGTGTTTTCTAGTTTAATGTTTGTTATCAATGTAAACTACTTAGAACATGAATGTACTGTTGCATGGTTAGACTGTAGATCACAACCTGCGCTGCTTTCCTTTCATGACACTCCTTTAATGGCTTGATTTTCCTGTTAATTAATATACTCCCATTATTTATTCACTTAAATTTGTCTCCATAAAAAGGCCAATGAAGATTCACCAACTAACCAACCAACCAACCAACCAACCAATCAAAACCTACTTTATTGGGTTGGAAATAGTGATTTAAAAAGCTTTTGCTGAACCCAGCCACTTCCTGAGACTTGGAAACCAACCCCCAGCCATATTCGGACCTAGAGGTGAGTGACTGTGTACAAACCCGGTGAGGCCCACCCCTAGGGACCCATCCCTGGTTCCAGAAGTTCCCTGGGAACACCTGGCCAACTTGGCCCCAGTTGCCGGCCAGCAGGCAGGGCTCCTGCTGAAAGGCTCCCTGTTCACCAAGAACCCTGGGCAAACACACCCTGCAATCTACACACCTTGCCCCCCTACTCCCATCTGCCTGAGACCCCAGCTACTTCCTGAGGCTTGGAAACCAACCCCCAGCTCTATTCGGGCCTAGAGAGAAAGCTCTCATTGGACAAAGGGCTGTCATTGGACCAAGGGTAACCTCAGCAGACAGGGAATCTGCCAGCCCTCATTAGACCAAGAGTGGCTTTCTGAGAAGTAAAATCTCCCACCTCTCATTGGAACAAGAGAGGCTTCCTGAAATATAGAATCAGTCAGCTCTGACTGGACCAAGAGACCTGAGAAGACCAAGAAAGCATCTGTGACTCACAGAGTCAACTAGCTTGGGTTGACCCAAGAGCAGCTCCCCTGAGACATAGAATCTGCCTGGTCCAAGTAGACCAATAGGTAAGATTAGACCCAGAAGGGCCCCCTGAGATACAGACACAACAAGCACAGAGTGGACCAACAGCAACTCACTCACACAGGAACCTCGTATACCCGTTAGAGGAGGAGTTGGGGCCGACGTCAAGGCAGAAGTACATACAACAACATAAAGAGCAATACAGCATCACCAGAACCTAGCCCTCCTCCAACAGCAAGACCTGAACATTACAAGACAGAAGAAGCAGAAAAAAGCAACCTTAAGAATAGCATCATGAAAAAAAAGCATCATGAAGATGCTAGAGGCCTTTCAAGAAAAAAATGAAAAATGAAATTGAGGAAAAGATGAACAAAAAGTGGAAGAAATAGAGGAAAAGACAAATAAAAAATTGGAAGAATGCAATAAATCCCTTAAAGAAAACCATGAAAAAGCAATCAGCAGGTGAGGGAAACAGTTCAAGACCTGAAAAGGGAAATAGAAACAATGAAGAAGACACAAACAGAGGGAATGCTGCAAACAGAAAATCTGAGTAAACAAATAGGATAACCAACAGAATACAAGAGATGGAGGAGAAGATCTCTGCTATAGAGGATACAATAGAGGATTCATTAGTCAAAGAAAATACCAAAGCCAAAAAGTTATAACACAAAATGTCCAAGAACTCTGGGACACCATGAAAAGACCAAACCCAAGAATAATAGGGATAGAGGAAGGAGAAGAATACCAACTCAAAGGTACAGAAAATATATTCAACAAGATCATAGAAGAAAACTTTCCCAACTTAAAGAAGGAAATACCTATGAAGATACAAGAAGCCTATATAGAACACCAAACAGACTAGACCCCCCAGAAAGTCCCCTCACCATATACTAATTAAACAGCTGAACCTACAGAATAAAGAAAGAATATTAAGAGCAGCAAAGGAAAAAGGCCAAGTGACTTATAAAGGCAAACTCATCAGAATAACACCCAATTTCTCAATGGAGACTTTGAAAGCCAGAAGGACCTGGACACATGTAATGCAGACACTAAGAGACTGTGGATGCCAGCCTAAACTAATATACCTAGCAAAACTTTCAATCATCATAGATGGAGTGCACAAGACATTCCAAGACAAAGCCAGATTTAAACAATATCTCTCCACAAATCCAGCCCTACAGAAAGCACTAGAAGGGAAATTCCAACCTAAGGAAGTCAGATACACCCTTGAAAACACAGGCAATAGATAACACCACAGCAGTAAACCCCAAAGAAGAGAAGTACACACACACTACCACCAAAAGATAACAGGAACTAACAATCACTGGTCATTAATATCCCTTAATGTCAATGAACTTAATTCACCTATAAAAAGACACAGGCTAACAAAATGGATACAAAAGCACGACCCATCTTTCTGCTTCATACAAGAAACACACCTCAATTTCAAAGACAGACACTACCTCAGAATAAAAGACTGGGAAAAGTCTTTTCCAATCAAATGGTCTTAAGAACCTAGCGGGTGTAGCCATCCTAATATCCAGCAAAATAGACTTCAAACTAAAATCAATCAAAAGAGATCACGAAGGACATTATATACTCATCACAGAAAAAATCCACCAAGATGAAGTTCCAATTCCGAAACAATGTCCCAAACACAAGGCATTATGTAAAAAGAAACATTACTAAAGCTTAAATCACACATAAAAACCCCACACATTAATAGTGGGAGACTTCAACACCCCACTCTCACCACTGGACAGATCTGCAAAATCAAAACTTAAGAGAGAAATAAGGGACTTAACTGATGTTATGACTCAAATGGAATTAATATCTATAGAACATTCCATCCTAACAAAAAAGACCATACCTCCTTCTCAGCACCACATGGAACCTTCTCTAAAATCGACCACATACTCGACCACAAAAGCAAATCTCAACAGATAACAAAAAAAAATGGGCCAGGCGGTGGTGGTGCACGCCTTTAATCCCAGCACTCGGGAGGCAGAGGCAGGTATATTTTTGTGAGTTCAAGGCTAGCCTGGTCTACAGAGCGGGATCCAGGAAAGGCACGAGCTACACAGAGAAACCCTGTCTTGAAAAACCAAAAAACCAAAAAAAAACCAAAACAAAACAAAACAAAAAAAAACCAAAAAATGGAATAACCTCCTGTGTTCTATCAGACTACCATGGTTTAAAGTTAGATTTCAACAACAACAAGAATTACAGAAAGCCTACAATCTCATGGAAGCTTAATAATGCCCAACTGAATCACCAATGGGTCAAGGAAGAAATAAAGAAATTAAAGACTTCCTAGAGATCAATGAAAATTGTATACCATATACCCAAACTTATGGGATGCTATGAAAGCAGTGCTAAGAGGAAAATTCATCACACTAAATGCCCACATAAAGAAGTTGGAGAAATCTCACACTAGTGACTTAATAGCACACCTGAAAGCTCTAGAACAAGAAGAAGCAAAGTCACCCAGGAGGAATAAATTCCAGGAAATAATCAAATGAGAGCTGAAATCAATAAAATAGAAACAAAGAGAACAATACAAAGAATCAATGAAACAAAGAGTTGATTCTTGGAGAAAATCAACAAAATAGACAAGCCCTTATCCAGACTAACCAAAAGGCAGAGAGAGGGCATCCAAATTAGCAAATTCAGAAATGAAAAGGGAGACATAACAACTAACATTGAGGAAATCCAGAGAACCATCAGGTCATACTTCAAAAACCTGTACTCCACAAAACTGGAAAATCTAAAATAAATGGATAATTTTCTGGATAGGTACCACATACCTAAGTTAAATCAAGACCAAATAAACTATTTAAATAGTCCAATAATCCCTAAGGAAATAGAAACAGTCATTAAAAGTCTCCCAACCAAAAAAAGCCTAGGACCAGATAGTTTCAGCACAGAATTCTACCAGATTTTCAAAGAAGAGATAATACCAATACTCTTTAAATTGTTCCACACAATAGAAACAGAGGGAACATTACCAAACTCCTTTTATGAGGCTACAATTACCCTGATTCCCAAGCCAAACAATGATGCAATAAAGAAAGAGAACTACAGGCCAATCTTCCTCATGAATATTGCTGCAAAAAATACTCAATAAAATATTGGCAGTTGATTAGCTTGAACTGTTTGGGAGTGGAGCCCAGGCAGTGGAGCCAGGACCTGTCCTTGGTGCATGGGCTGGCTTTTTGGAGCCTGAGGCCTATGCTGGAACACTTTGTTCAGCCTTGGTGTAGGAAGGAGGGGAATGGACCTGCCTTGGCTGAGTCTGCCAGGCTGGGCTGACTCCCCAGGGGAGACCTTGCCTTGGAGGAGGTGGGAATGGGGGGGTGGATTGGGGGGCATGGCAGGGGGCAGGTGGGAGAAGGGAGGACGGGGGAATCTGTGGCTGATATGTGAAATTAAGTTAATTATAAAATAAAAATACTATAAAAAATAAAAAAATAAAACGCTTTTGCTATGTTTATCTTAATGTATAAACTAGCAAGTCATCTGCAAGCTTACATTTCATTTTTTCTTCTAAAGTCCCTCGAAGAAACAGTGATAATCCATGAATCCATTCTGATACATTTACACAGCCATCATTGTCTTTATCAAAACCTCGAAATACTAAAAATGACACAATGTAATAGTTGTGTTGGATTTTAATCCTGCATAATATATCAAATCTAACTTCACTCTCCATTTCACAGCTGTTTCAAGCCCCAAGGTCACCATGCCCTCATTTGACAAAAGAAACTGAAACACATAACCTGAAAAAACTCTTTTAGTTATATATTCAACTTCCTCTTCATATGTTGTAGAAATAGCTAATGTTCTTTATATATAAAATATGGCTAAAATGATAATATACTGGCACATTAAACATGCTAGTCATTAGATATTTAAGCTTCTTAATAAAAAATAGTTTATGTTTTTATTCCTCAAGATAAGCTATGCTGTTACATGTTGGGAGTGTATCTTAACTGTTATGTAGTATTTTCTAGCATGTAAGAAAATTTAAGTAGAAGTAGAACACTATGGGGCTTTTTTTGTATGAGTATGAAACCTAGCTACCCAACAAAACTTTGTTCTCTTTCTAAACAACAAAAGGAATAGGAGACTGATTCCGTCTCCAAACATTTTGGAAGATTAAAATATATTCAAATGAAATTGGGAAATGTAGAACATGAGATTCCTCCCAAGAGCATAACCAAACTTAAACCTTTGTTAATTACAGTTGAATTTGACAATCTCTCTCACATATGCATCTTACCTCTGTCCATAATCATGTCATCTGTCATTCCAAATGTCACATGCAGGATGTTCCGAAATGCATTACGATCTAGTCCAATGACTACCCCTGGTCTTTCTGCTACATCACCCACCAAGTTATAGAAAAGCGTAATAAGACAGTTCACTTCAAATTTATTAACTGTAAAAGATCAAAATGAACACATAACAAAAGTATACTTTAAAATCTTAGGCTCTATTCAAATACTGTATTAATGAGTTTATATATTCAAAATCAAAAGCATCTAATGAATGAAAATGCATCTAATGAAAGCATCTAATGAAAGTGGCTTGGTTGCCACTTTCAAGTCTCCCATATCCTGAGCCACAGCCTCATAGTTTAAAAGATGATGATGCCAATGTCACATTATACACTAATAGAAGGTAAGTTATTCATGGAGCCAAATGCTAAATAGAAATAGATTCTACTGCATTTAGGATGAATGAAAATGAGGTGGCAGCAATGTGATCCAAATGACTGTGGTGTCAGATTTGAGACTTCACAGTACAGACAGAGGGCACGTCACAGTTGTGTTGTTTGAGACTGCTAGCAACAGCCAGCATTTGATGGTAGGTGTTTATGTCAGCTACAAACAAGCATTTCCCTGGAAGTTTAGACTCCTAAATATCTATGTACTCATTTTCATTTTAGTTTAGGCCTAGTGAATTTATAAGGCAGAACCTTGAAATCAGAATTATTTTCTAATAAAAGGCATTTTAAGCAAGTTCTACTAACCAGCATGGTTCTTCTCCAAGTTGTGGTGAACATTAACACTAAACTGTTCAGGGATTACTTTGGTAGAAGGATTTCTTTTTAATTAAAAACACACACACTCACACACACCTACACACAAAAAAAGAGAGGAAAGAGGAAAGAGTGAGAGAGAGACAGAGAGACAACAGAGAGACAGACAGAGAGAGAATATGAGAGAGGGAATGAGAGAGAGATGAGAATGAAATACTTACTGGCATTAAGAACATAAGTGAAAGCTGGCAACATAGCTCAGCTGGTAAAAAACCAACAAACACTTGCCTTGCCACAGAGGCCTGGTGATTTGCGTTTTGAAAATACACACACACACACACACACACACACACACCACACACACACACACACACACACTTACTTATGCAACAGCAGCAACACTAGCACCATCAACAATAAACAGATAAAACATTTTAAAATACAGTTTTACCAAAAAGAACTTAAGTTAATTTAAATGTGAGGTATGAGTGGAGAGGGGTGAAATTTTATTTAAAACCAAAAAGAAAACAGGTGAAATACTTTCATACATAAGGACGTCTATGTGTAAGAGAAAATAGAGAAATTGAACATATCTAACATGCCACAACACATAGAGAGTGGTTCCTGGTTTTAAAAATCACATTTTAAGAGAGAGCTTAAAACTTTGAAAAAGGAAAAAATAGTAAGTAAAATTAGTAAGTAATCGTAAACAATATAATTGTTAAGATTTTATTAAATGAGCTGTAAGTTACTGTGGAAAACAGCATGCCCTAAAATATAAATAGTGTGATCCCAATGATTCTACTTCTCAGCATGCACACACACTTAAAGAACTGAAAGAAGCTAGGTGGATTAACAAGCTGCCCACTCTAAGACCCTTTCTTCTCTGGTTCAACACAATGAATCTGTCTCATTGTACTGTGTCATAATCTGCTATTTAAAGACATTTTAAATGATCATAATGTCCATGAGCTGTAGCTGTTTAAACAGAACATACCACTTACATTTCACTAATAATCACTAAAGTTTCTAGGATTTATGTAAAAATTTTTACTTAAGATCAAAAATCAAGAGATTTTTTCCAGACATCTTTTTACTCATAATTTAAAATCTATACAAAGTTTAGAGTTTAGCTCAGTGGTAGATGGCTTGCATAGCATGTTTAGTCCTCGATACTGCAATTAAAAATACAAAGGAAAACCACTCATTTTCAATTGTTCTCAGTGTTTGTTAGTGAAGCAATGTGAACTTATTAAACAAGACTCAATCAATTGAGAATTATGTTCTATACTGGTCAGACATGTTTGTATTCATTTTAGAAATATCAGGTATTCTCCTAGAAAACTCTGGGACAAGGACAACTCTGTTTTTCAGTCTGAGTACCATTCACTGGTGTCTGGTCATTTGGAGGAGCTCCTTCACCTTTGAAACCCACTAGTAATTGGAAATTGAGTGTCTGAAACTGGGGACAGATTCTTTACCATCTTGAATTTACTCAGCAACACAGTTTTCAAAATAGACTGCCTCTTCCTAAGACATTGTTTGTAGAACTTCAAGTCTCTTTCTTAAAGGTGTCCAGGAAGTGGATGACTGTTTTCCCTTATTCAGCCCGTTAGTAAGAGCTAGAGTGTAAGTTAAGGTGCTATATACATTGGCTCTGCTACTTTCTTGATTCTAGTGTTTTTCTAGAACTTTTTCAATCTGTCTAAAGCTAAAGACACATACCTCCCAGGCATGTAGCATCTCACTTCTTTAACATAAACACAGGTAAAGAGAGTCTTTGAATTTAGTGAGTGTGAAGGAGCGCAGGCAGCACACACTAGACGCTTGCCATCTGGTTGAGTTTCTAAAGATCCTGGGACTGGATGAGTAGCTGACACCCCAGAAAAAGATTCTCTTCCAGATTTCTCTTGAGGGGTAGTGTGGAGGGGGCCCTTGTGGTGGAAGCAGGAAGGAGGCACTAGGTAGGAAAGAGACCTGGCCCAGAAGTCCTGGGTCCTCCAGCATTAGGTTCTTACTTACAATGCTTGCAACTTTTAGTTAAGGTGTCTGTCAACTTCTGTAGCTTCTTTCGGTTCATGGTGGGTGCTCACATAATTAGGTCTCAGTGTCCTCTGGAGCCAGGTCCCTTCACAAGCTCCAGGCTGAAAAGGCCTGGTGCAGACTCCTTGGCATTTGCGGCCCTAACAGATAGTGTGGCCATGGCAACGCCTTAGAGGGCCACCAATTGGCTCCCAGGGGCGGGCACGCGAGACATAAATGAGGCCCCTGCACACAAAGGAGCCATGGCAACCGCTGGGCCTGCTGCAGATTGGCTCCTGCTCTGGAGGTTGAGTAGTCAGACTAGAAAAGCTTGTGGCTGGAACTGCCAGCCCTGGCTGCCCAGCCCCTGCAGTCCAAGTTACAGAGTTCCAACCTGGCGCTCTGCAGACTGTTGGTTGCCAGGTTGGGGTTTTTAATTTCCACTTGTCATTGTCTTTTTGGTTCACAGTCCCTCAAGATTGGGACGTAAATATTCAGAAGTCTAAGAGTAAGGTGTGCATATTATGTAGGAGATGTTTTGGGTACTGAGCACGACGGGATTTAGGGTCTTCAAGGAGGTCTGTGGAAGTGCTGGAGGGAAATAGGTGTCATTCAAACAACTGTCACGGTGGCTTTTTGCCGGAGTGTGAGAATTTTCTTCAGGACTAATTGACCACCGGAAGTGAGTCTGAACACTTAGACTTGAACTGTGTTGCTGAGAACTCTCTCTCTCTCTCTCTCTCTCTCTCTCTCTCTCTCTCTCTCTCTCTCTCTCTCTCTCTCTCTCTCCTCTCTCATCTCCTGTCTCACTCTTTGGAGGTAGAGGTTGTCAGTCAAATTTTGCAAATTTTGCAAAAAGCCACTGTCAAATTTTAAGTTTGTGAATTAAAGTTACATCCTCTTATATGGAGATGGGTTCCCACTTAAGTGCGGGGTATAACCCAAGCTTGCTTTTTAAAAATATATCCCATTAAAACTAATGCTTTGCCAGTTCTGGCTCTGTTTTTTTTTTTAAAAATAAAAGAATCATTATACATCTGTAGTACTGCAGTACTTTCTGCTTTACTCATTAACAGATGGGATGCTCTGTTTGAATTTAGACCTAAATGAACGGGCTAGCTCAACATGAACCTTCAGAGAGCAACGGCTGGGAAATCACAGGAGTTTATTGAAAACATAATGTCCTTTTCAAACTGAAAATAGAAAAATACTGCCAAGAATAAGGAACAACCCCAAATGAAATAGTTCCAGTGTTGAAGTGTCTGATTTTCTTTTACAGTTTTATTTGTAGAAATAATTACAACGCTGTTTGAAACCAGAACCAAGAACCAGGGACTTTGCCTCCCTAAAGAAAACTGAGAACTGTTAACCAATATGAAATGACCACCTTAAATCTAGAAACTGAGAAACTCTGAGGTAGTAGAAGCAAATGAGAAGGACTGGATATATTGTGATTTCTTCCCATAAAATCATAGAATTTCCCCCCTACATTTCGGAGTTGAATTGAAGCAAAAGCCAGGGAGTAGGTGTGGCTGTCAGTTGTTAATGACATAATCCATGGGCATGTGAGGTGTCTTAGGAAACAGCTTTGACCGATGGTAAACACATTAATGAGTGTGCCGGGCATCCAGGAAGACAGCACACATTGGACGACTCTTGAAGGCACATACAGATGAGATAATTGCTTATTTCAATCAGACCATATTGGCCATTTTTCCTTAAAGTGAAAAAAAATGTAGGGTCAATATTGGAGCCTGTTGAGATTAAAAATAGGCAAGTGCTTACAGTAGACAAAATCTCTTAGCCATTGAGCAATATTTGAAAAAAAAAACTCCTTGCTTCCTAAACTCCAACTGGACTAAAGAGATCTGCATAAATTGTGTGCAGCTTGTCAGCAAATCTTTGTCAGGGTAAGTATATTTATTTGAGGCATGTTTTGTTAACACACTAGTATAATTCAGACCACTCACCACATTTTGTGAAAAATTAAAATCCATACTTCTTCCACTTTAGAAACAAATTGCAGGCCTCTAATCAAATTTAAGACAAAATTGAAATTTCTATTTGTAATTTTTAGTTGCTTGAGATGAACAGACTCAGGCCTTCCCTTAGGGCTTTCTTTCTTTTTCTGTTTTTGTTTTTGTTTTTGTTTTTGTTTTTCAAGACAGGGTTTCTCTGTGTAGCTTTGCTCCTTTCATGGAACTCACTTGGTTGTCCAGGCTGGCCTCGAACTCACAGAGATCCGCCTGGCTCTGCCTCCCTAGTGCTGGGATTAAAGGCATGCACCACCACAGCCCAGTGGCCCTTAGGGCTTTCTAAGAGTAAATCAATTAAGTGTGAATGCTTAACTTAGATCAGGTCAGCTGATAACACAACAACAAAAGATTGTGGTTCATTTGTGTTGGACAGCAATTTTACTGTGCATGAAATGATCATGGAACTCTCTAAAGTTCAAGAAACCTTGAGATGGATATTTTTCTAAATACAAAGTTATATTTAAATGACTATTGATGCTATAATGTTTCCTTTAATTTGGGGTTACCTTGACTTGCTATTCTTTGGAATGTTGCCATAATAAATAACTTAGACCTTGACTTGATGGAAGTGTTTTATTAACATGAACCTTTTATGATGAAGGCACTGAGAAGCTCTTTGGGAAATGACATCATAGAATTGATGTCCAACTATAGTGTATTATAAATATATAATGGGATTATTTAATAAAAGGAACAGAGAACTTGGTTTTCTGCATTATTTAAATTCAATTTTACTAATTTATTTTATAGAGATAATGATTAAAGTTTGGAGTTAAGTTTAGTCAGTTGTTTGAGTTGAATATCCTCTGCTATTTGTGGCCATTTTGTCTTTTGCTCAGATATTGTGATGATAGTCTCTTTTTAAAACCAAGAGTCCATTGAACATTGAACATCAGGATTTCTGGATACATTTCATCTCTGTCCACCAGAAATTATACTTCTTCAAATAGGTCTTTTGATATTCCTATGAAATTCTCTTTATTTATCCTCTTGCCAAGGAGCATTAACTTTCAAACACTCAGCACTAAACTGTGAATTACCTGATGTTGTAATTCTCTATTCCAATATGTAAATTTATTTTAATCAATGTCTTTATGTGCATTTGTCTAGCCTTTGTCTATACTTCTGAAGTTTAACAAGCCCCAATTTGGATTGTATTAACAGAAATCAGAGAGGAAAATGTTCAATGAGAGGGAAAAAATGTTGCCTCCTGGTTCTCCAAGGCATCTCCGTGTGGAGCCCTGTGTGCGACACCTCAGAGGGAGGGATTTCTACCTGCAGTGGAGTCCTTAAAGGGAGTAGGGCACTAAGGAAAAACTTTCTTTCAAACTAGCCTTTCCCCAAAGTGCACACTCAGCCCTCACTGGTGTTAATACAGTCAAGACATTTTTTTTCACAATCAAGTGACCAGTAGGTAAAACTAATGTAGATGTAATTCTAAACGGTTTTATTAAATAAGAAACACAGAGCCAAATAAAGAGCCCAGAGATCGAGCAGTAGCCAAGAGCTAAGACTACTTATCTTACCACTTGCTGCTGTCCTTTCCCTGGAGAGAGAGACCTTCTTCCTATGTCCTGTCTTTTTATTGTCTTTCTGTTCTGCATTCTCATTGGTTATAAACCCAAGCACATGACTTCCTTGTCACTGCCGTTCTACACAGACCTCCAGGTCTCTATGGTTTGTACTGAGATTAAAGGTTCGGGTCACCGCTTGGCTGTGTCCTTGAACACACAAAGATTCTGCCTGCCTTGTGATTGGATTAAGGGCATGTGCCACCACCACTGGACCTCTGCTAAATGGCTTGCTCTTAGCTCTGATCCCAGGCAACTTTATTTATTAACATACAAATAAAATCACATTTCAGCACAAATAAAATATCACCATAAACTAATGCTTAAGGTTTACCAAAGTAGGATTCTTACAATTCACATGTAATCTAAAAAGTTGGAAATGAAGTTGTGGCCTGTAGTAAGTAGCTATCAGATGAGCATGTCAGTAGTATGAGTAAAGAAGACACTGGTTTCTCTAAAACTTCATGAACCCAATTATAAATCCAATGGGAGTGTGGGAATGAAGTCTACAAAGGCTGCACCATAAGCTTCTCTGACAAGACTTATGATAACTGTGCTGTTTACATAGCTACCACAGGGACAGTAGGTACTCTCCCTTTCCCAACAAAATACCAGGATGCTGTAACCTACTAATGGGAACTAGGAAAGTGGCCATACACCTCCTCCATATCTTTGTAATACACTCTCCATACTTTCCCAAGATTTCACCACTGCCAGGCTTATAAGCCTCTTCTCTGGCCGATCTATGGATATTTAAAGGATGGACAGGGCTGGAGAGATGGTTCAGTGGTTAAGAGCATTGACTGTTCTTCCAAAGGACCTGGGTTCAGTTTCCATCACCCACATGGCAGCTCACAACTGTCTGTAACTCCAGTTCCAGGGAACCCAGCATCTATGGCAAAAACACCAATATGCATTAAAAAAAAGTAAAGACTGGATCTCCAAAGGTAACCCATAGATCATGACATGCACTGGGGACCTGAATTCATTCAGAACAGACATCAATAGAAAGCCTGTGACTGTCAGACTGTGGGCACTTTTGGACAGGAAACGGGAATCAGCATTTGTAGTATTAACATTTGGAGAATTCCACATATTTTCATCTGTGAGCAAAAGCTCATGAGAACTTGGACTTCCTTTCCTTTTGTCCAAGCTGGGATTTGAAAGCAGGGCCTGTGCATACCAAGAAAATGCTGACTTTCACTTCTTTAAGACTGTTTCATACTTGATGATTCTTAAGAATACAACTAAAATTTGTATCAATACTTTCACTGTTCCTTCATTAAGTCAAACTTTATGCTAATATCAGCAGGTCACTCTACTGATGTTATTAGAAGCATCTGGAGTGCTCAGCTTTGAATTTCTTGACTGTGTTGTTGGAGAAATGACAGGGATTGCTTGGTTCATTATCCCATGAACCTACTGTCTCTTCAGAATGATCTCTCACTAAAATAAATGCTACCAGCCAAACCCTCGAGAACAATGCTGTCTAATAGCTGGGTGGACAAGACTCATTCTC